TAGCATAAATGAAACAGTAATTTGAAATGCACAAACTTCTAAAACATGTATAGTGTTAAATATATAATCTGAGTAGATATGTAACTATTAAAGTTAATACACAAATTAAAAAGCCCTGAAATTTCCAAATCCAGGTAATTTTCCTAGCAGTGCTAATAAGTAATTAAAGGAGACTGATAACTAATTCTAAAAATTATTTTCAAAACAATTTTAAAACAAGGATTATTTCCTAGCTAATTTTTAAGTGTTTTTATTACTATATGTATGTCATACACAGTAAACACATTTATCATGGAGAGTCGGTACTTATACTATGACCTCTCTATCATTTTTATTTCTCCATTCTCCTACCAATTCCCTCCCCCTCCTTTATCATATCTTTTTCTCATCTCCACAAATGCTATTCTACCATCTCCCTTTATTTTGCTCTTTAAATGATTAATATTTCAATCACTCCTGGTAGAGATATCATACAAACTTCTCTGTTTTATTTCAGTTAATATTGTGGTTTCCAAGAGAATCCATTTTTTCACAAGTCACTCAAATTAATCCTTCTTTATGGTCTATGGATATATATATATATATATATATATATATATATGTATATATATATATACATTTTATATATATATAAATATATACATTTTATACATATATATATATATATATGTATTATTTGTTTTGTTTATGTATCTTTTCTAAATCACCTTTAAGGATAGTATAATCATCCATATAGTGAAACCAGGCATATAGAGTGATATAACAATAAACTAAAAGTGGAAAAAAATTAAAAAAGGTATGGGCTAAAATAGCTCATGAGTCTAAATATATAAACCATGGCCAGATTATAGCAAATGAAATGTAGGAGTATTTAAAGAGAAATACATGCCAAGACCCAGTAGGGTTTATTCCAGGAATGCGAGTCTGTTTCTCTACATAATTCCAATCAATATAGTCTATCACATCAACAGGCTAAGAAAAATGCCATATCCTCAATTGGTATACACATTTGGAAAAATCTACAATTGTTCTTAATAAAGACTTGCAGAAAATTCAGAATAGAAATCTTACGAATTGTGTCTTCCAAAAAGTATGCTGAAATCCTAAATCAGTGTCTATGAAGATAAATTTATTTGAATGCTGTCACTTCAGATACAGAATCAAGATGAAGTCTTTATGAATTAGGAAAAGTAATAGAAATATAAATTTAAGAAGAGACACAGACAGAAATATTCAAGGAGAAGGCCAAAGAGACATAGACAGGAACATTCAAAGAGAATGACATGTGATGACAGAGGCAGAAATTGGAGAGACCTATGTATAAGCCACCAGATTCTAACAATTTCTAGCAACATAAGAAGTTAAGACAATGAAACAGATCAGATTCAACCTTAAAGCCTGAGAGAAAGCATGGCTTTGCCAATCTGGATTTCTAACTTCTGTTCTTCAGAAGTACAAAACAGTAAACTTCTGCTTTTTTCTAATATACTGACTTTCTGTTATTTTTTATTGCAGCCAAGAAAACCTAATAGGTAGAGGAGTAACATTATTATTATTATTATTATTATTATTATTATTATTTATACCAAGTATTGAACTCAATACTTTGTACTTGCCAGGCAGGCGCTTACATCGCTGAGCTAAATACTTGACCCAAGGAAGGACTTCTTAAAACTTTATTAAAGTTACCTTTAAAATAATACTAAATCCAACATCCATAAAATGTGAAAAGCTGAAGGCTTTACACCTAAATTTTGAAAGCTATCATTCTGAATGTGGGAAAGGTGAAAATATTTACTTTAATATAAAAAATGAGACCTGGAGATCTACTCTTATCACTTTTAATTCACTGAAACTCCTAGCTGTTGTAGTTTGGCATATCTGATGCCATCTTGAGCCCTGAATTTAACTAGTGACCTGTATTTGACCCAGGAAAATGGAAGATTACTCAGGGTACAAATCCCATGAGAAAAGCAGCATGAGCTGTACCCACAGGAGAAAAACTAGCCTGCTCAACAAAGAAATAGAATACAGGTGTCAACTAAAACTTAATGTAAGATTCTAGCTAAATTGTTTCCCACAGGTTATATTTTTGTGGTTTCCTGTTTTAAAAGCCTTGTAATTTTCCAGTTCAGTGCCACTGAATGAGAATCTGAAACAGGGGTTTATGCAAGTGGATGCTGAGCTCAGATAATTAAATTCCAAATTTATCAATTTGGCTGCCTGGATTCCTATATTGCTAACGAACTCACATCACTAGCCAATGTTGCAAGCATAAAACAAAATATAGGTATATGGATTGAGAATGAAGAAATACAGCTGCACCTATTTATGGAGGCATGAATGCCTATGTAGTAAGTGCCAAGATATCCAAAAACAAGGCTCATAAAACAAATGACTGGTTAACAAATTCAGAGGATACAAAGTAAACACAAATAGATAAACATTTCTATGAACTAACAATAAATATGCAGAAACAAGTTAAAAGAACAAAATCAATTATACCTACTCCAAAAATGAAACATTTATGCATAAGTGTACCAAAATGTGTACAGGATCTAGAAACTGAAAATCATAAAATACTGATGGAAGAAATCAAGTAAGATCTAAATATATGGAGAGGTGTGTCTAATATGGTATGGTATAATAAGCACTGTGTAGTATGTAGTATAGCAAGTAGTACAGTAGTGATTACAAGTATCAGCAATTTGATACATGGGTTTACTAAATTCCTTCCATAATAAAACTAGATAATTCATAGAAGCTTATTTAAAAATTTATATAGAAAGCAAATGGGACTAGAATAGCTAAAATAATTTTGCAAAGGAATAATCAAGTGAGGGAAACCACTGTACCTGAGTATCACCTGGGAATCAGTGAAACAGAATACAAAATCAAAAACTAAACCCACAAATATATACCCATTCAATTTTTGACAAAGTATCAAAATCAACTTAATGAAGGAAGCACAGTCTTTTCAACAAATGTTGCTAGATATGCACAGTAAAAACAATAAATTAAAATATTACTTAATTTTATCTTTTTTCACAGCAGAGCACCTCAAATTTCTATTGTTAAGTGGAATAAACTGAAAACATAGCTTAAATATCACATGGTTTCTCTTACATAAAAAACCCAACATATAAATAAAGAGCAAAATAAAAGATAGATAAAGAGATAGATCTTTCTCACAGGTGAAGGGATTTAAGAGATAAAGGGGAGACGAGTTTCAAAAGAAGAATTAAAATTTGTCATTGGAACTACAATTCCACATCAGGAATGTAATCATTATGTATTGGAAATGTGTACCAATAAAAAGTAAAAACTGAAGAAAAAATAAGCCTTGACTCAAACCACACCATACAGAATATATGATAAAATATATTTTAAGCTTGAAATGTAAAATTCTAAGAATTTTAATGTAAATATAAGAGAAAATATGTGAGATTTAATTTTAGATGAAGAGTCTTGGACATAATAAAAGAAACATAGAAGAAAAAGTGGTAAAATTGACTTTATCAAGGTTACGAACACTGATTATAGACAAATCCTGCTAAGATTTTGATATCAAGAATGTACAGAGAATTTTCAAAGATGAACAATTAAAACGTACCCAATTATAAATGCTCAGTTATTAAATAAATACCTCATCGAAGTGCAACTTCCTATGTTAAGTACATGAAAAATGGCTTGAAAACTTGATCCCCCTCCCTGTTTGCATAAACCAAAATTATCTTGCTATGGCCAGCAACCAGTAAGTACTGGTATTGTTTAGATATGTCAGTTTAGACTGTTAATTGAACTCTCATTCTCAAGAAAGACCAGGTTGAGACAGTGAATTCTTTAGTCACCCTATCTACTTGTATCATTTGGCTCCCACAAGAACAAGTAATTAGTACATCTAACTATTAATTATTATTTTTGTAAAATGTATTCATGTACATCCAGTATCTTTGAAATCTAATTTCTGTGATGAATGTAGTGCAAAATCTTAGCCATCATGAATCACAGACAGTCAAATAAGCATTTCTCTCACGTATTCCTACCTCTCAGATGTTGTGCGAAATAAATGGGGAATCACTATGACCCAGTAAAATGAAACCCTTCGTTATCTACTATCTAAGAATAGCTCTCTGTGTTTAGTGGATATTCTTAACCTTCATTAAGAATGAAGCTGACCTAAACAAATTCTGTATTTAAGAATACTAAAGTACTTATAATCAGGTCTTAGAACTTTAGACATACAGTCTCAGGCCATATTTATAAGCAACTATAGTATATTTAAAATATTATAGAATTTTCTTTCAATTGGCTAAATGAGACAAGCAAATATACTTTCTCCAAAGTAACTATGCAATTAGATGTGAAAAAACCAACAATTTCAGGATTCCAGAAATAGAAAAAATGTACAGAATAGACTGAGAGGTCTATTCAGTTCAGCAAAATAGTTGAACTTTAGTGAAAGATATTGCAAGAAATCACAAGTAGAGGGTACCATATTATGTGATCCAACTTAGATGAAATGTTTAGAAAAGGCAAAGTTTTAGAGACAGAAAGTAAATCAGTGGTTACATGAGATTGGTAATGAGAACAAGAGTTGACTAGTGAAGAATTTAGTATAGGCTACCCAATCATCTCTTCATAGGTAAACAATTGAACAACTCAATACCATTAAAATTGAGATAGAAAACAACCTATGTGTATTTGAAAAAACACATCGAAACACTCTTTGTAAAACAAATGACAATATTAATCACCATTTCAGTATCAACTTATTTATATCAACTTATTTTGCTTATTTTGTTTCTCATTTTGTAAACTTTCTTTTCTAATTTTTAAATAAAACTTGATGAAGTCGATAAAAATTAAAAAGTATATAGAAGCAGTACCACTTTGACTTAACAAAAGATGACCTAGAGGGTTTTCTCTCTTGAATTTCATTAGGGTTTAGCATAAATTATATTCATCAGGCTAGTTAATATTTTTGTTTGATACGTTACCTTGTCTGACTTGTCAGCCTAAAGTCCATAGTAGATTCCTTTTGTAAACCAACTGCTTTTATGTTAATGGTTTTTTCCACTTCAGGAGCAGTAGCTATCAAGATCAAGGGAAACCTCCAGATTCCATCTTTTACACTCTCTATTTTCAATAAAATATCAGACCTTGAATATAAAAAAGTAATTTTAAAAGCTACTGCAGGAAAACAAGCAAAGAGAGCAAATACAGCAAATCAATATCTAATGTCAAATATAAATAAATTATGAGGTTTCAGCAAAAGCATTGGGGCATTTAATTCTTGAATAATGTACCAGACTGTTAATTAACATTGAAAAAATTAGTACATAATAATTTATAGCTATTATATCCGTTTGGCATAATTATTCTACAGAGCATTTTATCAAATCTCCAATAGTTTATGCATGACACACTCTGCAAATTTTCTGTCACCAGTACAAATTCTAATCAGGATAAATTTTGTAAATAGATTTAAGTTTGATGATAATAAATATTCTATTTGAGGAATTTCTGTCAAAATTAAACACTACAAGAAAATTTTTTCAAATCAAATCTTTTCAAAATCTTTTCAAATCATGCTATATAGGAAGATTACATGGTCTGTGAATACCTACAAAGCCCAATATTATTGAAATTTTTAAAAATTAAGTTAATATTTCTATAGATCATACTGTTCTTATATTTTATGTCCAGTAGTGTTTGCTTTATGAAGTCAAGCATGCCATTGTTTTGGGGTGTATGTTTATAATTGTTTCATTTTCCCTTAATAAGTAGGGAGCTTCTTTGCTTCCGATGATCAGTTTTGCCTTGAAATTCACCTTGTTTAAAAATAGGATGGTTACATATGATTTTGGGGTGATTTCCATTGTATGGAATATGGTTTTTTGATTGTTTTGTTTGCCTTTGTTTTGGTACTGAGATTTGGGCTCAAGAACTTGTGCTTGCCAGGCAGGTGCTGCACTGCTAAGCTAAATCCCTGGCTTGAATATATTTTTATCTTATGATTTTGAGTATGTGAATTCATGTTTTGATTAAACACATTTCTTGTATATATCATATTGTAGAGTTTTGTTTCTCCAACCTTTCTACCAGTCTGTCTTCTGATTGGCAAATTGAGACTATTGACAATGAGTTATTATTGAAAATTATCCTTGTCATTACATAATTTTTATGTCACTCATTTATTTCTTTTCCCATCCTGCTAAATTGCGCATCCTGTATGATGTAAATATATTAGAGTTTTTATATTATTCACTTCATTATATATTTCTAGCATATCCTTGAGAATTGCCTGTAGTGTTGGTTTGGTGGTCAGAACATTCATAAGGTTCTATTTCTTCATGGAAACATATTTTTTTCCTACATCAATTTTGCAAGACACTGTTTCAGGACATATAAGTCTGATTTGAAAGTTCTTTTCTTTCAGGGCTTGCAATGCTTTACTTCAAGCTGCCCTGGCCTAGAACATTTATGTTGAGAAATGTGGAAATTCTACTGGGTTTGCCTTTATAAGTGAGTTATTGCTTACTCCTAAGAGCTTTCAAGATTCTGATCCCCTGTTGTACTTCTAGAATTATGAATATGATATGATATGGAGATTTTTTTTGATCTTGGATATTTGTAGTTCTATATGCTTAATTATTTCTCTATATTTGAAAGTTGTTTCTTATTATTTCTGAACAGAATTATTATGCCATTTATGCTGTCTTCGAATTTTTCATTCATTATAATTAATATTATATTAGTCTTCTTTGGGTCATACAGAAGTTTTTGCATCCATTCTTCATGTTGTCTTGTCACTTTAAAGGTATCTCTGAATAAATGGTTTTTCACTACGTTCCTATTTTCTACTTCTAACACACCTTATGATGGCTGCATCTGCTGCACATAATTTAATAGAATTTTTAATCTCCTACATTTGTGTTTGGTTCCTCTTCATGGACTCTAATTCTTTGTTGAACTGGTCTTTTGTGCTTTGTATTGTTTTGTTTAGCTCATGCAGCATTTTATTTGTACCATCTAAAACCTTGTTGATCATCTTGTATGTTAAAAGTCCACTATCTGTTTAATGATACTTTCTCTGAAGGCACCAAGCACCTTGCTGATGTGTTTGTTTTTCTCAATGTTCTCTGTTATTTTTTCAAAATATTGGGCTGTGTAGCTATTGATTTCTCTTCTCTCAGTTCCTCATGGATCAGCTCTGTGGGAGTTTGGAGTTTTTGGAGGCATTTTGCTGCCTAGTGTTTTTAGGGTTTTTTGTTTTTGATTTTGTTTTCTTTTGGTCTTGTTTTATTTTATTTTGTGGTGATGTTTTGGGAAGCCCATAGTGGAAAGTCTTTGTTGCAGGTATGAAGATCTCTTTAGTTAGTTATTGCTTTTCAGTGATGCAATCTGAGCATGAATAACCATAGGCCACTGCCTCTATCCCAAGGCCCAAACTCATCTGTTAATCTGGGATGGGGCAATGCAGTGTAACTGATATATCACCCAGTTCTCTGGAATGGACTTCAGTATTATTGATTACACAAAAATAATTTGTATATTGGCATACAGACAAAATCTATTAATAGCAACCACTATTCCAACCTGGCAATAGCAACAAAATCAACAATAATGTCATCAAAGACAAACTGGATACTAATATCCCATAAGAACCACTGATTTACCCTTAAGCATGGAGAAGATATCTATAATTATAGCACAACCACCAAGACAAAATACTGACATACAGTAAATATCTACTATATATGACAGCAAAACTTTCACCAATAGAAATGAATTCAAGAGTAATAGCAGAGTTATCTAACTATATAAAGATTAATGTTTAAGGTTGATACTAGTAAAGAAAGGAAAATGGGAGAATGGAAGAAAAAACTTGAAAATTTAAGCAATGCAAGATGAAGTGAGAAAATGAGAAAAATTATCATACTGAACAGTAAAAGGAATTGAGGTAGAATCAGAAAAGTGAAGGGCCAAAAAAAAAAAGAAAAGAACAAAAAAAAAAAAAAGAAAAAAAGAAAAAAAGAAAATGAAAACCCTTCAGATTCCCAAATTCCAGTGAAGAAGGAAGTGAACATAAACAAAAAAAAAATTTCTATAAATTTATCCCCTGTATTTTTGAACAAGCAAATTTTACCAGGATCGATAGTTTAAAATCTAGATAGTCATGGTTTTCTTTATCTAGCTTTATAGCCTTTGGGTTTGTAAGTTATCTTGCAATTGTAGAACTCCCTCTCTTTGTTCATACAAGGATGTTGCAACCATCCAAGACCAGGCTTATACTTTTTGCATCTGTAGACAGGGAAAAGCAATCAAACTTTTGATCTGTGCTGGATATAGACAACATGGCAAGTGATAAAGAAGACTGCTGTATTTAATGACCACACTTTCAGATCCAACAGTTTCTGAAAGTCACACATCGGTTTGGCTTTTCACCTTGTAGAGCAGGACCCCATTTCCTTCCTAGCCTGTGGTTATAATTCTGAATGGGTATATGTCTAGCCTGTTCTCTCTTCAGGACTGTTTCTCATAACTCTATCACCCAAACATCAAGGTGTGTAGCACTTAGAACCCTGAAGTAAAGTTGCTTTTTCGTTGTTCTTAGGTTCAGTTGCTAAATAACCAACTTGTTTCTGAAATGTCACTTGAATTAGTAACTCTCTAGTGATAACTTCAGGCACTGCATCAGGTTCCTTATCAAATTTATCGGTATGTAGAAAAAATCACTTTCAGAGTAATATCCTACACTGCGTTTGCTGTTTATAATAGCTGTGAGCTTTTCTGAGTGCAGCACTTCTGAACCACTATGTTTTTTCTTCTGATAGTGCCTAACCCTGGGAGCTTCCTTTGTGTTTGAGTAGATTTCCCTTCCTTGGGAGCTAGGGTAAGCTTCCAGATAGCTTCATTTTTTCCCTTTATATTGTGGTCTGCTTCTTCAGCTTCTCTGTAGATTCTCATTTACCAAACATTTCTCTCCCAATACCCAGAGATCTACTTTTTTTTCTTTATGCTAAGTTGTTATTTTCCACATGTATGGATTCCATGTCTCATACAGGATGTATTTTGCTATTTATCACTATTCTGACATTTTGTTTCCTAGCAAAAGCCCATTTTGCTTACTGATCTGCTGGCATGCGCAATGTTATCCATTAAACAGTAATGCAAGGAAGCTGCAATGTTCAAAAAGCTAGATATTTTCATCATTTGAACTATTTCTGTTCTGAGAAATGTCATCGAATATTACATTGCTAATGTACATCATCTGGTAAGTTTTTAAAATAAAGATTTTATAAAATGCTCTGTTGTTTTTTGTTAATATGATACCCTAATGACCTTAGAGAGATCATAGCTCTTGAAATATACCTTACATTTACAACCATTTGAATTATTTTGCTCTTATCAGAATACTTTACATAGCTTACTAGCTAGAAATAACCTGGCCTAACTTATTTCTTTTAATAGCATCAAAGAAATGTTTATCAAAATAATGAAAAATGGAACAAAAACTAACATTATTTGGTTTAAATTGATAATAATATTTTTTGAAGAAAAAAGCAAAGAAAGAAGGTTTACCTGAATGGTTTCTTTGGTGTAAATACTATCTTGAAGACCAATGATATTGTTTCACTTTGGATATCATAACTTTGTGTGCTCAACTGTAAATCTACAATGGATTCCAATTTAGACTTCATAACTTCAGATTCATATTCAATTTCATACGTCAATACACGTGTTTTAGGAACTACTACAAAAATCAAGATTAAAATATATTTTAGCTTATTTAATTATGTATATATTGAACATAAATTCATTTGTGGATATTAATCATACATAGATGTATACAGGGAAATAGTACATATTATTTTTTGTGTTAATAGTATATATAATATTACTAGCTATGTAATACTGTATACATTTTTGTTTAAAGGTAAATGAATGAATATAAAAAATAAACAGATGATAATTCTCACCATAGTTAAGCTTTTACAATTCAGGCTTGCACAAAGAAAAGTGAAATAAACTATGAATACTATCACATGCGCTCTATATACCAAATACTATCACATGTGCTCTGTATATGTATTAAATTTATACTGGCAAAATACATAAAGGGTAAGATTTAAATCTTGATTTTTATTAAATTTAAACAATAGTGAAAGTGCATCTCAAACTATTAGAGCAGGAATTTCTGGTATATTTTGATAAAATAAACTGTCCTTTATATTTTGCTCTTGAAATATTATAGACAATATGATAAAAAACATTTTCCTAACTACTACATTATCAGAGGAAATTTATATTAAGAGTTTTGTTCACTGAGCATGAAAGATATTTTAAGTCCACAATTAGCATGTAGACAGTAGGTACTAACACAAGTTAAACTTACTCTTCATTTATGTATAAAAATACAAAGCTGTAAATAGAGAAGTTCACTGCATGCAGACTATCGAAAAAAGGTAAAATCTCCATGAGTTAAACTGGTCAATAGCTGAGCTAACTCCTAAACTCTGGCTCTGATGTGTAAAAGTAAAAGTAATCTTTAAGTCATATAATTTGAATTTGCAACTGATAACTACTTTAAGCTATCCTAAGATACACTAGACAAATTCTTAGAAGTACTTAATATTAATTTCTGCTACTGAACTCTGATAAACTGGTTGGATATAAGAAGCTAAAGTCACATTTAATTACTATTACCCAAAACATTCACAATATGAAATATAATAGACCAACCCAAATGGTCATAGGAACAACTTTTTTTTTTCCATGCAGGAAATTAAATCTTCTAAATTACTGATTTTCATCCTGTAGACAAAAATTTTTAAAATTTCTATTCCTATTCTATGATTTGGAAAAAATCTGTGCTGCCATAAAATATGTGTTCGCCTTGAGAATGGAACATAGAAATAGAGAGAAAATAACATTTAAGTATATTAGAGTCCCTTTGAGGTTGTAAGATTTACATTTTATTGAAGTATTACAATAAACATTTGTTCTTTCAGTATTAGTGATTGAACATAGGGCCATGTGCATATTAGGCAACAATATTATCACTGAGCTAAACATACTTTCTGCTAAAGATATTTTTAAAAATTTAGAAATTTTAAAATGATATCCTCTATGTGGTTGAGATGTGTATCTGTTTTTGTCTAATTGTTGAAGCCTTTATTGGAAAGATGGTGTCACAATAATGCTATAAAGTGAGAAGATAATTTTTGTTTCATAAGCATTGAGGCCTTTGTAAATATATGTCACTATGGCTGCCATATTCCATGCATAAGAAAAATATATTTCACTAGTGTAGAATCTATGCATGCTTATTCCCCAGGAGTCAAAAGTTAAGGCCAATAGGAATCATTGAAATGAAAGGCACAGTTCTTGTCTTCCTGGAGCTTAAAATCAAAAGGATAGACCTGATAATCATTGTCAATATCACATTTTAAAAATGTGCTTGTCGTTTTTGACAGAGAGATTAAAAACAAGTATCAGATAAAAGATATCACCTTTAACAAATTTGAGTTGCACATGTGCAGAATATTAATTCTAGACTCATATTTCTCACCTTGTACTAAAATCAAAACAAAGACTTTTCTATGAAAGCAGAAACATTAAAATCTTCTGGAAGATTAAATATGAAAAACATTTGAAGAACTAGGCATAGGCAAGGATTTCCTGAACAGAATTCCAATTGTATGAGAAACAATATCACCAATCAACAAATGGAACTATATTAAATTATAAAGCTCACACAGAGCAAAATACTCAAATGAAAGAGTGAAGAAACAACCTACAGAATTAGAAATAATTTTTGTCAGCTATTCTTCTAATAAAAGGCTAATAAATAGAATGCATAAAGAATTTGAAAAAAAATCTAAACCACTCCAACAAACAAATGAACAACAGAAAATCTAAAACAAAAATGAACAAATAGAGTGAATAAAAACTTCTCAAAGGAAGAACAAGTGGCTCGTAAATTACATGAAAAAATAGTTGCATCCTTGGCCATCAGAAAAATACAAGTTAAAAAACACTGAGATTCCATTTTTCAACAGTAAAATGACTATTGTCAGGGGCACAAAAAATGCTAGCGGGGAAACAAGGTAAAAAGTTCACTTTACGCTGTTTATGGGAAGTATAGTATAATACGCCACTATGGAAATCAGTATGGAGATTCCTCAAAAAACTAAAAATAGAACTTCCACTTGATCCAGCTATTCCTTCCCTTGCAATTTTCTCCAAAATTAAAAAAACATCTCATTAGAGTGATACATTTATACCTATGTTGATAGCAGCACATTTCAAATATGTAAATTATGGGACAACATAGATGTCCAACAGACAAGTGGGTAAAGAACATGAGGCATACATATACAACAGTGTTACTCATAAAGAAAGATACATTTGTGTCATTTGAAGGAAACTGGATAGATCTTGAGACAATAATGTTAAATATAATGAATTATACACAAAATAATAAATATAGTATGCTTTCTCTTATAAGAGAAATGCAAAATGTAAATAATCAATGAGTAAAATAAAGGTATAAAACAATGAGATTTTTGGAGATGGGGAAGGAAATACTGGGGAAGGAAATACTTGGAAAAGAAGCGAGAAGAGGGAGGCAGAAGCGAGGGGAGGGGAAGAAATAAATTATATATATATATATATATATATATATATATATATATATATATGTGTGTGTGTGTGTGTGTGTGTAATCCCACAAGCAAATATAATTATTATGTATTATAAGCAATATAGCCATAAATATAGATAGTTCTTGGTAAAGTAGAAACAAATTGGTAAAGTGGGGAAATGGATAGAAATGATCTGCATGTGATCTATATATGTACCAATTCCCCCAAACAAATGTAATTATCATGTATTAAAAACATATAGCAATAAAACCACATTTTGGAAACTTCCACCAAGGAGAAGTAAAAATGACTATGCAAGCACAGTCCTGGAAATCTGGTTACTAAGGATTTCTGTGGATGACATTAGTGCACCAGAATTGAAGGATGTGTGTAGATTAGGTGGAAGTACATAGGCAGAAAATGTTTTCTACTTATGGAAAGCAGACTGGGAATTATATACGCTAGAAATCAATATGTCCATTAGAGAAAAAAAGAATTACGTGGACAGAGTAGAGGCACAGGGAGGAATTCATTAAAAATGAAGTCAGCAAAGTAGGCAAGAATTAAGCCATACAGGGTCTGAGTAGGATTTGTGACTTCTTAGACTAAAGAGAGTGAATAAGTGGTTTACATCTATTTGACATTTGATCCCCATAATACTTTATTTTTCCACAGATGACTCTTTTATGTAGTCCTAAGGAAGCTTACTGAATGCCACTGAGATGATTGCTTCCATATTTTTGCTTCAAAATGTAACTTGTCAGTGACTGAAGATGGGTCTTCAGTACATCATCATCACATAAAACCCAACAATAACTTTAAGTGATAACGGTGCAATACCTCAAACTTATGGGAAACACATTAAAAACCATGTAATTCTGAAGTATTTCATGTGAATTTACACATTAAATCTTTAAAAATATCCTACAAGGTGAATATTATTCCTATTTCCATGTTACGGGTAAAGAAACTGATTTTACAGTGAAGGAAAGTAATTTTCTCAAGACTTTACTAAAGTCTTGAGACTCAACTAGTCTGACTTTAGATATAATAACTCGGAATAGCAGGCTTGTCCTATGACACAATTTTTTTTTTTTTTAATTTTAAAGACACAATTGTTGAAGAAGCACTACTGAGATCATTGCCCAAAAATGTGCTAGGCACATTTGGGCATAGGAATGCAGTGGTCCTTGTGGCAGAACACAAACACACTCAGATGCTTAGATTCTGGTGAGAGAAGGGAAAAAAGCAACAGAGTAGAGGATGGAGATCTAGTGAGATAACAAATTAATAAGATTAGTCATGAAAACCTAAGAGCACAAACTTCATCATGTTGGTCAATTGTTCATGACTAGTAGGATAAACTCAGAACACAAATCAGACCAATGGAGTGATCATACTGAGCATGCATCACATTCTCAAGGGTGAATTTGGGTAGGACAGAGCCTTGAAGAGTGAGCTGATCGGAGAATACAAATTGAAGAAGAGCAGAGTAAAAGGTCAAAGGCTGGAGGTCATTGAGGGGTCAGAACAGGATAGTTACTGTTTATGTAAAAAATATCCTGTGAAAGTCTCACATGTTTATACAGTGATTAGATCACAGGCATTCCATAATAAATGTGCTAAAATGTGCTATCCAGAAAATCAGAGGTCATGTTTTCTTCTCTTCCTTCATGTTTAATGTTTTTGTGCCTGCAGGGAGTCTACAATTTGCCTATTGGCCAATAATATGCTCAATTATTATGGAAGGAACAAATAAACTCAAGTAATTCCATAGAGCCAATTTACTTTCCAATTAATCTTCATAATTAGTAAAGTTAACACTTTGATCTCTGCATGTGTTATTTATGCATCTGTTTCTCTCTTTATTATACACTCAAATGAGGGAGGAAAAAGATATGATTAGCTTTCACTCCTGAAACCCTTTCAAAGTCCAAGACACAGGTTGCAGAGCTTTAATTTCTAATGGAAGGGATACTATAGACAATGGAAAGTACAGATGGCACAGACTATAATACTCTTTTGGGCACTAATGTGCTGTGAAAATTAAAATTACACACAAGAAGAAAAGGAGCTTATTTGATTTTTGTGTATTCTAAGGACTAAAATAATTTTCAGACTTTACTGCCAGACTTGTTCCTTCAAAAATAAATGGATAAAATAAAGGGTAAATTAGAGGAAACAGAGTTAAATCTTTTGCAAAGGGGAAGGAGAGAGACCAAGAAATGAAAGAGTGAAGAGGAGAAAACATAAAAAAGAAATAAAATTTTATGTGTAGTTACCAACTCCCCACAATAAATGCAATTATTACATACTTCAAACATATACTAATAAAAGTTAGAAAATAAATAGATGGAAACTAGGACTGTGAAAGAAGGTTTATAGACACTGCAGGCAACTTGATTGCAGTGGAACAAGGGCAGCAAAAACACAGTTTTTGTTACATGCCTATGAAAAAGGATGAAGGTCAATTAATCTTATCAAATATTTAGATACCACAAAAGAGAGAGAAATACTAAACATGAGAGGGTACTTGTGGATTCCACATCTGTCCAGAAAAACCAAAAAAGAAGATTCACATATTAAAATGTAAACAAAAGTAGATAAGCTTGTTAAATTTGGTGGTTTAAGCAAGTATTTTATATAGAAAAAGAGGTAGAGACAAGCCTGAAAATCTTTCGTATAATTCAATATTAATTTTTCATTTTAAAAATGAAAAGTATGAAGTAGTAAAACAAAAGCCATATCAAAATGTGTACATTCAAGAGCTATACATGATACATTTATTTTTAACATGACAAAGTTCCCAAAATGATGTCAGCAACTTTTCAGACTTCAATTCCTTAGATAAAGCAGATATTTTCAAGATAATAAATTTTAATCAGTTTATATTATCAAAGTATAATTAATTCCATGTACATCAAGACAATCTAAGCAATTTAAAATATAGAGACATATGGAAAAGTTTGCTATGCACAAGTATACTTAACCTTATTTATAAATTTTTGAATGCCCAACACAATATTGTTAATTACAGACACTATGTTTTACAACAATTCTTAGAATTTAGTCATCTCACAAAGCTGAAATTTTACAACCTTTCTATTTCCTCTTCCCAAAGGATCCTCCCAACTACTATTTTACTCTGGTCTCTATGAGTTTGACTATTTTAAACTTACACTATAAGTAGTATTATGCACTTATATGTCTAGATCATTTCACTAAGCATAATGTCCCCAGATTTATCTATGTGGTTGCACATTATACAACTTTCTTACTTTAAAAGGCTAAATAGTATCCCATTGTATGTTTATACCACATTGTCTTTATCCATTCATCTCTCAATATACACTTAGATTGTGTGTTTATTTCAGTGACTGTGAATAATGTTGACAAGAACATTAGATTCTGGTGAGAGAAAGGGGAAAACAGCAACAGAGCAGAGGATGGAGATCTAGCTATCTCTGAGATTTTGATTTCAATTGGTATGGTTAAGTATGCAGAGGCAGAAATGCTGGATCACACTGTAGTTCAGTGTTGAATCTCATTAGGTGTTTCCACACTATTTTTTGTAGAAGCTGTGTCATTTTGCATTCCTACCAACAGTATCAGACCTTCAAAATTTTTCCACAGAGTTGCCAATGCTTGTTTTCTGTTTTTTGGGTCTTTAAAAGTAATAGGCATACTGATAAGTGTGAGGTGGTATGTCACTGTGGTTTCCACCGGTACTTCTCTGGTAATTAGTGATGCTGAGTAATTTTTTATGTACAAATTGGCTATTTTTATGTCTTCTTTGGAAAATGTTTAATACATTTGACTTATTTTTAATCAAGATTTTAGGATTTTTAAGTATTGAGTATAGGAGTTGCTTATGTATTTGAGAGCTTAATCTCCTGTGAGACAAATTGTTTACAATTATTTCATCCATTTTACAGGCCAAATTTTATTGCTAACTTCTTTTGCTATGAGGAAGCATTTCAGTTTGATATAGCCCCAATTATTTATGTTCATTTTTGTTGTCTGTGCATTTGGTGCCCTATCCCAAAAATTATTGCCAAGACCAATGTTCTGAAACCTTTTGCCATGGAAAGAGTCTCTGGCAAGTAAGTATCTCAAGCCTCTCTACAGGCTTTGCTTAATCTGGTTTCACATTCTCCTAACGGAATGTAACATTGCATGTAACAAGAACTTTTGAATTAGGTTCTGTTGTCTCACAAAGAGAATTTGTGCATGAATTGCTTGTTAATTAGTGTTTATGGAGAGAATGGTCTGAGTCTCCCTAACTCACCATGTTGCTTGTATCACTTAGTTTCATATTATTTGTTTCAAGTGACATAATACATATTAAAGAATTAAGAGAATAGTTCAATATTACTTATCCAGAATGCCTGGGACTAGAGGGATTTGAATTTCAATTTCAGATCTTTTAGATTTTGGAATATATATCTATATCTATCTATCTATGTATCTATCTATCTATCTATCTATCTATATATATATATATATATATATAGAGAGAGAGAGAGAGAGAGAGAAAGACACAGAGGGTGCAATATCATAGGATGGGCTCTAACATTCAGTACAAAATTCATTTGTGCCTCATATGCCTCTTGAACACATAGTCTAGAAATAATTGTACACATTATTTTTAGTCCCTTCGTTGTGACTGTAATCTGTCAAATGAAATTAGGTATAGAATAACCCACTTGTGGCATCATACTGATGCTTAAGAAATCAGATTTTGGAGCACTTGAGGATTTTGGATTTCTAGATCAAGGATACTTGACTTTTAATATTTTTAAATTATTTAGAATTTTAAAAATGAGATGGACAATTTTATATAACAATTTATAATACAAATTATAATGCATCCAATCAACTTTTCCATAATGACAGAGCTTATTTGGGTATTATATCTAATTTATATCAAATTTTCAATCAGATCTCTTAATTAAGAAAGAGAGAGAAAAAGAAGGAATTTAAGTTGAGAAGAGTGAAAAATTATAGTTACAACAGTTTTTCCTCGTCTTCAAAGAATCACAAACCATACCTGATTAATACAGTAATATTGTATAGTCATTTTTTGAGATAAAAGCTATGAGAAAACAAATACAAAGAGCATTACTTATGTCCTACCTTGACTGTTATATTGGAAATGATAAGTAAATGGAACTGGATCTTTATAATTTAGCTAACTTCATCCTACAATTCATGGTAACCCAGTTTTATTTATCATTATTTTTATATCAATTACAGTTTTCTTACCAATGTAATCTTCATAAACATTATGACATGAACTTCCTTTTGGAACCACTAAAAAATCTGTTGTTTCTTGTGTAGGATTATTTCTAAAAAAATCGCCAATCAATGTGATTTCCATTGTCATTTCTACACTCTTACTAGACTTGCATTTTATGACAGCTACAGGAAAGAAATATTTTCAGTTAATTTAGCTATTAGGTTATATCACAAGTTTTGAGGTAAATAAATTGAACTATGTCCTCAAATACAAAATTTCCTTTAATACACTTTGAATTGTCATAGTGTATGAATTTATCCCACATGCATACACACAAATATACACATCCACATTCATGCGATACCTACATATATTGGTATCTTGGCAAGAAATATGAATTTTAAAGAATATGTAGGGCAAGAGATAATTCTTTAAAATATATAACAGTTTGTAACAGGCCATGTTAGAATGCAGAAATTGGTGTGTGGAACCAATATAGTCATACCAGTAATTCAAGTTGCAATTGTGGAGATGTGAATCTATACATTTTTAAAGTCGGTAGGTTTAGCATGGCAGTATCAAGTTTTAGTTTTGTAATAACATTATAACAAATATCTTCAAATAATTTAAAATAAATCCAGTAGCATTTATTTTGTAATATTTAAAATATTTCTATTAATCACATGCATCTTAGAATTTATATTTAAATTATTTAAGTAAAAATTTCAAATTTTGATTTACTTTTAAATGTAAAAATGCACCACTGCAACATTTCCATTAGTCAAAAATAAAATTGAGATGATTTCTAAGTTAAAATGTGATTACACATTAATGCATACCATTAAATATTTATATATGGCACTAGTTCTATAATACTGTATGGCTATGTGTACTGGAGTTCACATAAACTAGATTATCTCTCCCAAATGTATTATGTTATACACTTCAAACTGAGTATAACAAATAAAGCAAATCTATATAAAAAGTTTCAAAATGCATTTTAATACTTTTGGCATAATTAATAATAATAATGATAATGTAATATAAACCACAAAATTAGTCGATATCCTTAAATATGTGATTTTGCAATAAATATAACAGAATAAAAACCTAATAAATTTATCTTTCATTTTAAAATTTTATAGACTCCAGCACCATTTATTAAAGAGACTGGTGGAAAAAAAAAAAAAGAGCTCTAACGGATATAACAGCAAGTGTGTTTAGGGGTGTTAAATAGCTGACTATATTAATGTTTTTGGGTCAATGAACACAGCTGTTTGCAGTCTCTCTGTTTGAATGTCTACTTTGTATTCTTTGATACTGTGATTTGAGCAACTATTTCCAAGATGATAATATGTAATCTATTAACAGGTGATTTCTTACTGTTATGTTTTTTTTTTTTTTTTTGGTAGTTCTGTATTATGTGTAACCTTACACTGCTTTGTTTTGTTTTGTGTTTTTCTCTTTTTCCTCTTAAATAAAAAAAATTATAGACTCATATTGAATATTTCAGATTAATGATGAGTATGATAAATGCATAATAAGGGTATAAAGTGAGATATGAGTTGAAATAGCTGGGTACACTATACAAACTTGTCTGGTAATAATTAGCTCCTGTCTTTTAAAGAATTAAATTGGAATTTAAAATGATCAGTGGTAAAATTGATATCTTGTCACTGTTTTTTTTTCTGCATAAAAGCACTTAGAAGTGCTTTTGACACTGACAATGTAAGGCCCACTAAATCACAACAGATTTACTTTTTACTGTCTTTACAGTGTGACACAGATTGGAGAGTTTTTTCAAATATCTGCCCAAATAGAGAGTAGCAAATAGCAGTGTACAAAGAGCAAAGGTGACTCCCAGAACAACAACAACAAAACAAATAATTTCAGTGACAAATACATATAAACAAAATAAATAAAAGCATGAATGTGATAAATTTGAACAGGGAAATTAGTAGGTTTTCTCTAATGAGCTATTACATATAGAATGGAAAATGGACAGCACAGAAAACAACTAATATTTATGTAAAAATTTTACTCACTTGTCTATAAAATATGTTTGTAAAGTGATTACTAACATTTATATTTGGTGAAATGGTGTAACAAAAATATGCAAACTATTTTAAAACTGATGGTGCTACTAGGTTGTCCTAATGAAACATAGATTATTTAAATAATCCAAGTCTATTTTAAAAATCAAGTAATAATCAAGAAGAGTGGCAAAAATGAAATGTTCTGGAGTATGTTTATCTTTTTTTGAAGAAAATATGTGGGGAATTTGTTTTTTATTCTCATTGCCTTAGTTTAGCCTGAAAAATTCTACTTTAAGTCATTAATCTAGGGAAAAATTTACTATATCTGTAGTTGGTATAAGCAATACAACTATTAGCATTCTAATAGTGATGTCTAAAATTTATTGCATCACTTTGATCACCTATGTATTACACATTTTAAACAGTTCAAATATACAATCTTTCCTGGCTGAAATAAAACACATTTTGATACGGCTGTGAAGTGTTCTGTGGATAATTTCTTATACTTGAATTATTTATGCATCTGTTAATTTTTAGTTTCAACAGTAAAAATACTTCAGGTGAAACAAATGACATTTATCCTTAAAGGTACTACTACTATGTTTGTAGATTTTTACTCCGATAAATTTAAAAGCCATAAAGAAATACATCATCTTGGCCTTTTTTAAAATAGAGACTGTATCTGGGGAAATGTTTTATTTACAAGCAAAACTTACTGCTTTCTCTTTTTTCTAGGTATAGTGACATAATTTATGTCAATGGACATATAATGTCTTTACATGTATAGTTAGTGCTCAAATCTAGGCCCTTAAGCACACTAGTAATCATTCTACGACTCAGCTTCATTCTTGGCCTGGAACTCTAATCCTTTTCATTTGCTGTGATTAGTATTGCAGGAATAAGGAAAAGGCAAAATTTCAAAACTTTAAAAAATTCATCTGTTTCTCAAGGCAGAGATCAAAACAACCCTATGATTTGCAGAACAATTCAGTCCATTAAAAAATGAAGTATGATGAGATATGTGGTATGTTAAATATCTCTCTAATTATGTGGAATTTCATTTCTAATGCTGATCCTTCAAAGAAAATAGGAAAGTCAAAGAATTTGAAGATGTGAGAAGGGTATGTAGGAAAGAAAACACATACAAACTTGAACTGAGCCTGTGGTATGTGGAGATAAAAAGGGATCAGTGAAGAAAACAGAGACATTCAAGGCCAGGATAAGTTTACATATTTTGGAAAAGTAAATCTCTCTGAAAACTTCATTTTATTCTGACTGGTTTTTGAGACCATCACAAAGATTTGTTTTTGTTATTTCAGAAAAATCAGAAAAATGAAGTAGTATCCTCAGAGAATAATTCTTAAATGAGACTTGAGTGTTTCACAGAAACTGAAATACAATGATTAAAATGACCAGGAAATAAAAGTACTTGGCAATCTTCCATGTCTAGTTCTTGGCTCTGTAGAATAGAGGAGTGTGAAGTAATTTTATTTCAGTTGGAGCTGGTATCTGTGTTTCATCACAGGATAGCAAGAATGAATGTAATATTGTGCAAAAGCCAACAGACTCATTGTTGGACGAGAGGCTGAGGTTCCAGCACTCCCACTAATGGGGTTATTCTCTTTACTACCTATTTTCTCTAGACCTCAAGTTTCTTATCAGTACAAAGGAGAGGTAGAATTACAGAAGGACTAAAGTTCTATAAAATCCTGATTTTGCTTTCTCTATAATATAATATACTTACGTGGAGCATTTTTAGGGAGCGGTGCCTGTGGGAGTCCAACAATAGGGTACATCCAGTGTATTCCTTGGATTTCATCTTTGTCTATTCCCATAATTCTAATTAAAATTATTAACAGTGAACAAAAAGAGAAATTCTTTCAATACTATCATGAAAAATTTATTCTTTATTAACTTAGTGGTATTTTAGAAAGGTTTGTGAATTGAAACTCAAGCAAAGAGAAACTGGCAAAAGAGGAAAATAGTTCCTGTAAATGTAGATTTTATAAAAATTTCTGAGCAAATGAAAATTTTCACAAAGAAAAACATTAAATGTAAGGTAAAATTAAGAAGTTTATGTTATCTAACTCTAAAGGATGCAGCTGGATTTACTGATGTTACTAAATTGTGACTAATGTGAAGTAATACATTTCATATGGATTATATTTTAAATTGGAAAATCAAAGCACAAAACAAAATATCTCGTGAAATACAGGACTTCATAACGGGATGAGGAATTTGCTGTAGGTGTAAATCAGTTAAAAGCAAGAGGGTATCTATCTAATTATTCTGGGTGTATTGTACACTATCACGAATACAGCAATATTAGAAAATTTAATGATCATTGTTGAGGATGGAATTATCTTAAAAAGTAATGTAAGACACTATAGCAAGGGCCAGTTGTGCACATGACTTGTGCAACTGTGTAAGACCTCACATATAGAAAGACTATATGCTTGGGGATGAGGATATAGCTCAGTGGCACAAGTGCGAAGTCATGAGTTCAATCCCCAGTTACCAAAAAGAAAAAAGAAAACAAAAAAGACTATATGCTTGTTTAATGTACTACCACAACTATCTTGAAATTATTGATAATTATTTAGGAAGGGCCTCTTCATTCTTATATTTACGGACCCACAAATTGTGTAGACAGATGTGGTCAGAGTGGTGAAATGACTAGCAGAATAGATCCCCACACAGCAAAAATTAAATATGAGGAGTATGTATGAAAATGTAAGGTAACATTAGATTTTATTTTAATTAAGATTTCTAGACTACTTTCTAATTAAATAAAATTTAATTATAAGACTAAATATGTAAATTTTGTACCATTTTAAGAGTTTCTTTAAATTTTAACTAAACAAGGAGACTAAAACCTACCTGCATTCTGTGCAATAGCATAGTAATACCTGGTCACGGCAATATTTTATCAGAATGTTATATCCTTCTAGTAATCATTCAGTGAATTCTCACATCACAAGATCTACATTTATCCCAAACAAGCTTTTTCAATTTGTGTTTAGGATATTGAGTATTCATTGTTTTGTCATTATTTTATCTGTCTAAAGGCACATCCTTCTGAGTGTGGTGGTGCATGCCTGCAATACCAACACTTGAGAGACTGATGCAGAAGGGTTACAATAAGTTTGAGGCCAGCCTGAGCTACATAGTAACATAAAGAGGTCCAGGTCAGCCTGAACTATATAGGGGGACACTGTTCCCCCAAAAGAGTTCCTTTACATAACTTTGACTGGTTAAGTGATAATTACACCTAAGATTAATCTTGGTAATTACTCTGAACCTCAAAGTAATAATTATATGTATATATAAAATTTCTATATAACAAATATACTTTCTGCCTCTAAATATATGAATTTCAGCAGTTAAGAGATTATGAAATCTTTATATCGCATATGGTACATATATAAGATGCCTATTACAGTATGAAAATGTTAGGCACAAAAGAAATCACTTTTCTTCAGTATCTTTATTTAAATAAAAGTTAAATAAAAGTTACCTTTTAAACTCTGTATCTAATTCTTTGAAGTTGTCAATAGGCCAATTTTTTCCATTTTTTCTCATGATTTGAACGATGACCATTGTTTTGCATAATGTCATACACTGGGGTTTAAATAACACCTGGATGTCTATTTTTCCTTCAGGAGATAACACAATTCCTGTAAAACACATGTGCACGTGCACACACACACAATTTAAATGATGTAAATACTAGTTTAAACAACAAAAAGTAATCACTCATTTTACTATCAATTTTTAAAAATTACTTTGGAACAAAAAATCACATTACGCTAAAATATAAGTATGCTTCACTATTCTCCCTAAAATGTAATTGATCTTACTAAAAACACATTTATCCTGAAGGAAGACATTTCTGCTGAAGAGCCTAGACTGAGGAAATATTCTAGGTATTGCCTGGAGTTTTCCAGATGACAAAAGAACCATAAAACCCATCAGACTCTTCAAGAAAGATTTACCATATTTTCCAGAGGAAAACAGTAGTATTTATTCTTATGTATGTGCTATGTAATAATTATATTCATCTTGGGGAATTGGCACATATATTGTGCCATCTTAACCATTTTCATTCTCCCTTCCCCAACCTGTCTTTTTTTTTCCATCCTTCCCTGGATCCCCTTTCCATTTCTACAGAGTTTATTTTTGTTCCCTTAATTTCTTGTGGTATTTTCTATCCTATAACATGCCCAGACCTTTGTACAGAGCCTCAAAATTGCTGCCCTAAAAATCTGTCAGTTTACTTAAGTCATGTATGAGGAAAAACACAGCTCATTTGTAAAAGAAAAAAGTAGCATCTCTTCCTAGTCATGAAAACCAGAAAGCAGAAAAACTTGAAGGACTGTCATGTGTTTTGATAGATTAGAATTTTTCAAACATTAGTATAGTTAAGAACCATGTAAAAATTTTGTTAAACATGGTATCCAATGAGCCCCAACTTTAGAGATTCTAATTTACTTGGTCTGGCAATGAGCAAAGTAAAATATAAACCTAAATATCACCTATGGGATCTAGAAGCAGAAGTTTATAAGACCGTATTCTGATAACAAAGGGGAAAAATTGCTACCTGGACAAGTTTGGAAAAGCTGGTATAGTGGTACTTTTCAAATGATGGTGTTCATGTGATGAGTGGCTAGCTTTATTTTGGAGAATGACACTACTTTAAAACATAACAAGGGATAAATGACTGTACTCATTTTTTTTAAATTCTTTTTTTGTAAGACTGAGGATAAGCAAAGTCATTTTACTCAAATGAAAATGCTAAACTTGTAGAACATTAAGAATGAAAATTTAAAAATTACTGTACTGTGAAATATCCTGACATTAAATTCTTAGAAATTTTACAATTTTTAATTTCATTCATTCATTAAAGAAATATAATAGTTGTTAGCTCTAATATCATAGCTAAGATCAACTAACTATTAATATTACTAATAGTTAACGTTTGTTGTATATTGACTATAATTCAGGTTCTGTGCTAAGTATCATTTAAGTGATCTTGTTATATTCTCAGAAAACATGAAAATATTAAGAGCTATACTGTTTGTTATTTTAGAGATGACAAAACTGAGATAATTTGGATAACAAATTGCCCAAAGTACTCTTGAAATTGTACTAAGATATATGGAGAGCTTCTAGTGATTTTTTTTTCCTTTTTCTCTTTTTAATCGGTACTGGGGATCAAACTCACGACCGCATGCTTACAAGGCAGGTGCTTATGCCTCTGAGCTAAATCCCCAGACCTGTACTAAGGTATATGTAAATAATGTTTATTAACTTCATTTTGAGCTCTATTTTAATGGATCATCAGTGTTAGAGTTAATTAAAATGAATATCTTTAATAAAATCAATATTATATAACATGAACATGTCACAACATATGTACACAAAGGAGTTGATAAGAATATGTAACAAATTTGAACTCTGCATCTACTCTTTCATTGTATTTTTATTGTGGAGTTCAACGATTCTTTGTATGTAACAGAAACTTTCAGGCTGGGAAGTTAGCTCAGTGGCTCAAGCACTTGCCTGGTAAGTTCAAGGTTGTGAGTTCAATCCCCAGTACCAAAATTAAAAAAAAACTTTCTACTGCTATTTTAAATCTATAAACTTTCGTCCAGCTAATGAAACAGTAAGGTAGATGAATGTAATTTTCAAGTCATGCCTGCAAATTCTATCAAGTCTATAGGTTGTGAAAATTTCAGCCTTCTGTTAATTAAAATGAAGTAACAGATTAATTTTTTTAATATGTTTAGATAAAACAGCAAGAACTAAACCAAATAAGGCATACATTCAGTTCCAAAGAAATAAAGAGTAAGAATTATCATTTACCCTTAAAAAGATTATATTATCATTAAAATGGATTATGTTACTCCTCCAACTAAACCTAAAATTTACATTGGGTAAGGAGTAAAGATAGAAGACAATTATTCATCGTGTATACTATCATAATTTTATAACATTTAAATTGAAAGTATGAAAAGATAGTTCCATGATAAATCAGTTACTTTAATTAAAAATCTAGCAACATATTTGTGAATGTAATCAACTTTATAACTAGAACAGTAGTTGAAAACTGTATGCACCATAAGATTTTAGGTTATTATATCTTTAAAAAGTAAGAACCATGATAATGTTGTCAATTTTAAAAAAAAATCACTGAAAATAATCTTCAGAATCTATGTGAGAAGTTCATTTTGTGTATCACAAATGAGCTTCATCTAATTTCTCTTGTTTTCCCATTGTCTTTGGCAACAATTTAAGTATGGACAAGAAGGCTGTCCTTAGACATTATTAAGAATATTCAAATCTGTCTATATTTCATCTAACACGGGCATACTTCTCTTAAATTAAATATTTGACCCATTTGTAATTTATCTTTATGCACAGAATGAAGAATTTATTTAATGTTTTTGATTTTTATATGAAACTAGCAATCAAAAAATAGTCCTTGTCTTAAAAATTATAATATCATGGCACTTGTATATGTATTTTTGTCTCTTTCTGAAATTCCTAGGTAGTGGCTTTTCTTTTTTTTTAGCATTGTAAATACCACATTTTTCATTGATAGCTTTCTTATTTTTCTAATAGGACTTATTGCTTCTTGTATGATTCATTTACTAAATTTTTTTAAAATTTAAAATGAACATTTGAATGTATGAGTAGATGAAGTTTGGGAAGGAAGCACATTAACAGGATTGCCTTAAATCTATGTATTTATCTTTGCATATTTAACATTTCCCCCCATTTAAGACATATCAAGATTTAAAATAAAACTCGGATTTGCTTTATTTTACTTTTATAATCTGAGTACTAATCATCCTAAAAAGTGCTTATAGGTTGTGGAAAACAGATTTTGAGCTAGTTTTAGCCTTCAATTGTTAATATTTTCTTTTATGTTTAGCTGCAAGCTGGAATAAATCACATCAGCTGTTTTTATCTTCTGACTGAATTTTCTAAATAGAATAATGATGACTGTATGCATTAAATGATTTGATAAAACTGTAAACTCACAATGTTTGAGCTGATATATTTCTCATTTCTTCATCTATAATAATTACACAATTTAAATAGAATGACAGTTATTTTTATGAACTTTACTTCTGTTATAGCATCATTTTCTAGGATAAAAATCCTACTAAATATGTGAGAGACATATTCATAATTTAATATATACATTTTATATGTCAGAAGTATATATTATTTATACAATTGATTAGCCCCTGATAATATATTCTTTGTATTACCGGAGAAATTTAAAAAAAAATAATGTTGATTTCATTGTTGTCTTATTGATCTTGAATTTTACTATAGCACAATTAAATTAACATTCAAATTATATACGATGTATATTTACAACTACTACTTTGGCTGTCCCTTTGAATAAAAATGGCAGATATTTTTACCCATAGATCTCATAAATTAAATACAGACATTGTATAATGTTTTAGCATCATAAGGTTTTACATCTTCCATCAATAAAAATTTCTTAAGCAAGTGTACATGAAAGATTGGTGAATAGAGGTATTCTGTGCTCTCCTCCACCACCGAGAAGAATCTGGATAACAGAAGAATGATTATATTTTAAGGAGAGGGATTAAGAATGAACACTGGAATTGAGTGAGAAAATAGTGGGTTATAAAGGTATGGAGATTCAGGATGGTAACATAGAGAAAGAAAGAAAGCATGCGGCAACTGTGATCCCAGTTCCCTGGCTGGAGAAGTATTTCACATTGCAGGGAAAAGTAAGATAGAAAACTGCAGGCAACGTCCTCTTCCTCAAAATGGCTGTGGACTGGCAGCCCTATCTATAGGAGAATTCCACGATTCTTACATATTTTGCTTTCAGTTGTGAGAGCCGCTTGAAATTTATGCTTTGTTCTAGAGAAGGAATTCACATTGAGCTCCTGAAGTAATATTCCACAATATGATGCACACAACTGTCTCCAGCACTAACACTCACTGGGCATCTGCATGTACTCCTCCATAGCCTGTGCATCCAGAATTGTAGCTGTTGCCTCCAGAGGATTTGTCACCACTGCTGCTTGACTTTCACATTAATATAACTGACTGATTTTTTCCATAAAGGCTCCAAGAACATACACAATAGAAAGAAGAATTTCTTCAATAAATGGCAGTGGGAAAAGTACATACACATGCAAAACTATGAGTGTAGGTATCTCTCTCTCTCACCATATTAAAAAATCAATTTTAAAATGGATCAGCGCCTCAGTGCAATATCTAAAACCTCGAAGTTATTAGAAGAAAATCTAGGGAAAATATTTTAAGACATTGGTACACAAAAGTGTGTGTGTGTGTGTGTGTGTGTATAGGGGTAAGATCTCAAATGCACAGGCACCAAAAATAAAATTATATGAATGAGAGTATATCAAACTCAAACTTTTGCACAACAAAATAAAAAAAATCAACACGGTGAAGGGACAATCTATAGCAATGGAGAAAAGATTTGCAAACAGTTTTTCTTACAAGAGATTAATATCCAACTTATATAAAGAGCACATCCAATGCAACAGCAAGAAATACATAATATAATTGAAAAATTAGGAAAAGACGCTTCCTTAAAGAAGAAATGAAAATGTCCAAAAAGTTTATGAAAGATACTCAGTGACAATAACCATCAGAA